GTAGAAGCCTACTTAGGATTAGATGGGATGTTGATTGCATTGGTTATGTGACTAATTGCTACTTGTTTATTACTTGAAGAAGCGTGATTAACTGCTTATGTGCTTATATGCTTAAATGTTTGTGTTAAAATGTTTCTTGTATAGTTAAGCATACGAAGTGTCGTTATGGCATCATTCCAAGTTGAGTCATCCAAGGTGAACCTTAGTGTCTTGTCATTGAACCATTTTCTCATTTTATAGCACAATGTCATGGCGTGAGGAACTCAAGGAAGTTGGCCCTAGGCCGACTAGGGGTGATGCTAGCGAGAGCTTCAGTTCCAATCCGGAGGAGCTAAATGATGACGACACACATCTTAGGGACTTGATTCCCCTAAGAGTTGTTCCCACAAGGAAAGATAATGTTGAAGCACCCGTAGAAGTGGATGAAGGTCCTGCGGAACTGGTATTGTAGAGGGCCGTGAGGGTCACCATTGCTGCTCAGCCATAGTCGGCACCATAACCTACAGTTCAAGTTGAGGAGACGTCAGCTCAGAAGCATCTTAAGATTATTAAGGGGTTTTCTTAGTTGATGCTAGTTATGTTTGAGGGCGATGCGGATCCAATGGTAGCAAATGACTATATGGATCAAGTTGAAACTCAATTAACCTCAATGGAGTGTATGACCTAGTTGACCTCGGGTTCGGGCAAGAACCCGGTAATGGTCCGGATCTACAGATTTGGGTCATTACAAAGTTAGTATCAGAGCCGACAGAAGAGCTATGCAGATAGGCGAAGACGACTGCTATCATTTGAGGTGGGAGACCATGTTTTCCTGCGGGTTTCTCCACGGAAAGGTTTGATGAGGTTTAGAAAGAGTGGCAAGTTGTCGCCACGATTCATTAGACCGTTTGAGATTAGGACCCGACATTGTACTCGAGACTACCGAGAAGATTAAATTGATTAGACAGACAACTCAGAGCCGATAGAAGAGCTATGCAGATAGGCGGAGACGACTGCTATCATTTGAGGTGGGAGACCATGTTTTTCTGCGGGTTTCTCCACGGAAGGGTTTGATAAGGTTTGGGAAGAATGGCAAGTTGTCACCACGATTCATTGGACCATTTGAGATTTTAGACCGTGTAGCAGAAGTTGCCTATAGACTTGCTTTGCTACCATAGATGGATAAGGTTCACAATATTTTTCATGTGTCGATACTACGAAAGTATGAATCGGATCCATCTCATGTGTTGGATTGGGTTGACGTGGACATTGATGAGAATGTCTCCTATAAAGAGGGACCAGTGCAGATCCTTGACACATGGCAGAAGGTGTTAAGGGGCAAAACAGTACAGTTAGTGAAAGTTCTTTGGAGACACCACGAAGTCAAGTAGGCTACTTGGGAGCTTGAACAGCAAGCTCGCTTCAGGTACCCAGAGTTGCTTCAATCCCCAGGTATGGCTTGATTTCGGGGATGAAATCTTTTTAAGTTGGGGAGATTGTGATGTTTCCAATTTTTAACATTTTTCATTTTTCTGGACTTTTGTCGCCGCAAGGGCATTTTCGTTTTTTACCGTTTTGCATACCGGACACTACGGGGCGTGCCGGTCGTGTCTGAGAGTTGTTTAGGACATTTCATTGAGTCCAGGACTCTTTGAAATGTAAGGGTGATTTTTCTTTCCATTTTTTAGTTTTTCGGGCCAGACGGTCCCGTGTGGGACCCGCTGCCGGTATTGTTGCATCCAGGGATTTTGATTGGTTCCATTTGCACTCCATGCATTTTATTTGATATGCCTTATATGCATTTTATATAGTTATGTATATGTATATGTATGTGGTGCAAATTAAAAGACAAAAGAAAAAGGAAAAATAAAAAGAAAAAGGTGGGACCCACCATTTGCATACAAAAAGGCAAGGAGACCATGTTTTGGTCTCCATTTCCTTCTCTCTCTCCCGCTAGTTTTCTCTCTCTCCCCTTTATCTTACTTTTTCTTTTTCTTTTTCATTTACAACTTCAATCCTAGATCTCTCTCTCTTTAATTGGTATTTTTAAGTGCCGTTTGCGGCAAATTGAAGCCCACAACGAGGCCTATGAGTTGATTCGAGCCAATCCTCATTTGGCCACCATTTGGAGGATCTCTAATCCTAGGGTTTGAAGTCTAAAATATGGGGTTTTGAATCATTTTAAGGTAGAGGTCCTTAATTCACACTTTTCTTGTTCCTTTGTGAGTCGTCTCTCTTTAATTGTTGTAAAACATGCTTAATTTTAAGTTAATTGTCTTGAGAATGATATATTTGTTGTATTTGGAATCTATACTTGTATATGTTGATGAAATTATGTAAAAAGCATACTTAGGTGTAAATTTACATGCCTACGGTGTTTATTGATTTTCTAGAAGATGCCATGAAGGAGCATATTAAATTGTGTGGTGTAAAATTCTTTTATGCTCATATTATTGGTGAAGTACCTGATATGCATTTCATAGCATTGGGCATAAAAGAAAAGGTAAAGTGTTTTGAAATAAACGCGAATATGGAATTTTGGGGAGAAATTTTGATAAAGTGTTTTGAGAAAACCCGGTTGCCGTGGGGTCATCAAAGGGCCGGTGTGTTGATATAGCCTAGAGAAAACTAGGGAGATTGCCCTAGTGTGGTTGAGCTATCTGGGCCCAAGATGATGCTGCGGGGGTACCAAAGGTTAGGGACAGTAGCCAATCATTCTCTCGTATCGCTGCAGAGTCACCAAAGGGCGGGTTATATTAACAATTTGTGAAGTGATGGATTTTCCTAAAAATGGGGAGTGACATGCATAACATTGCATTCACGGCATGACATTTAATTATTTTGAACTTGGAATTGATATAGTATTTTTACCCTGCTTTGTATGACCTCGTTTACTATTGTTCTATTCTTTGGTTGGGTTCACGGGGACACAAGAGGAGTGTCTTAAGTACCATCTACTAAGCTTTATGCTTACCCCATTATTTAACATTTTTCAGGAACCGAAAAAGAAGTAGTGGATACCGACCTTCCACAAGTGTGAGGATGACTAGGAGTTTATTTTATACCTTTTGTATATTTTCCCATTCCTTTGTTAATCATGGCCATGTAATATAATTAAGACATTTGACTATATTTTGATGTATATGGAAACCATGTAATTGCTTGTATTGAATGGGAGAACAATGTTATATTGTTGGCAAATTTAGTGACGGCTATTCTTGTATAATGATGAGTATTTGCCGTGAATTCGGAATTTCAGTACTTGATAGGTTCATTATGGGTTTAGTATACATTATACATAATCAGTATGCACTTCCAGTGATTTTAATCCCAGGTTAGCATGTTTTGGCCGGCTAATCCTCACCATCAGTCGATCGAAACTCCAGGTTCAGCCGACTGAACCCCCATCGTCAGCTGACCGAAATGCCTACAGTGAAACTCCCGAGAGCTTGTAAACTTCACCCTCGTTTCGGCCGACCGACCATCTAGGTCAGCCGGCCGATCATGCCTTAATACCCGGCCGATGAAGGCCCATTAACCGACTAAACATTCCTTTAATGTTGACTAGCATCGTAAGCTTGCACCCTTGAGTATTCTGAGCTCCATAAGTTTTATGACAGGTTTGAATATAGGAAATAGAGTGTATGACCTAGTTGACCTTGGGTTCAGGCAAGAACCCGGTAACAGTCTGGATCCACGGATTCGGGTCGTTACAGTGCCTTTATTTAATTTACATTTATTGATTTTTTTTTAAAATTTTTTATTTTATCCTGGTAAGAAAAAAATGCCATACGGCATCTACAAGGCAAGAACATCGGCCAAGAGGCAAACAAATCATGAAGCAATAAAAGAAAAAAATTAAAGAACATGCTTCAGATTTGCTAAGAAACAAGCCAAAATGCACCAGCGGACCACCAAGGGAGAAGAGCAGCAACGGGAGTGATCCAAAGGTCAGGCCATCAGCAAGGCAACAGCTCCAAGGCTGCATCCACAACGCACCACCGACTAGAGAAAACCACCCAAACCTAGCACAAAAAGGCGGGGACACCAAAACCTGACATAGATCAGAGATCTAGCCGGAGACAAAACAACATATCCACCCCGTCGAGCCAGGAGCCAAACAGGAGTAAATCTAGCAAAAGATCAGCAAAACGGCGTCAAACCCACCCACCGAGTGAACTCATTACAACATGCCGAATTTATTAAGCGGTGAGAGGTAAGGATCAGCACCTCCCCACTCCCATGGGAGGGAGTGGGGAGCAAATAGAAGGAAACAAAGGGGAGGCGGCTGAAGGGTTAGAGAAAGGCCAGAGAAAAAGTTAGATTAGGTTAATTCGGATAGATGAGTGAATTTAAAACGAAGGCAGTTGAATCTATATAAAATATTGACCATTGATTAGATAATATTAGAAGTGCACGTTAGATATTTTATTACTATATTTATTCGAATCAAAATTACTGATGCAATCTAATCACAATTTTGCACATCAACGATCTGATTCGAATAAATATGTAGTACTATTCAAATTGCAGCAAATATTACTAAACGCGCTTTTGTATTTTGTTTTGCTACAGTACCCTGTTTAAAAAAAAATTTCACATATGCAAAAGTTGTTGCCAAATAGGACCTTATTGTGCAGAATGTGGGATTCCTATTTTGGGCCTGGTTTTGACAGTTCAGTGAAAATGAGTGGACTCGTTTGGGTGTATCTACTCGACTTCTATCGGCTATTAGGGACAAAAAGGGCCCAACAGCAAACAAAAAGGCTACGAACTGGAAGGATGGACCTAGCAACAAACAAAACAATTAGCTATTATTAACCAGGTCATACAAAACAAGGTCAGCAGAAGCTTAGTTCTGAATCAAACCTCTTAATTTTAGCTGTTCTTTTCATCTCCTAATTAAGCTATCTTTTATCCACATTAAATCATATAAAAATGCAAAATTTTTATTGCTATAGGATGAATCAAACGATAAATTTTGATTTGATCATATTATTTATTTATTTGGATCATCGATGTATGAAAACAAGTAGTCAAAAGAGTATATTATTAGGTCCATGTTGAAAACACAGGAAAGTGTCAATAACCTAAACTTTATTTCCTTCCAGGTGATGTACGTACCCTTGGAAATTTTGTATAATAGAACAACTTTAATGTGTGTGACCTAGCAGTAGAGATTATCGCCAGTTGTGACACCAAGTTGGTTGCAGTAGTTGGTGTAATACTCCACACGAGAATTAACTTTCTCAGGCTCTTTACCATCGCATTCAACATCACCATTGATTTTACGGATTGTTTCTCCAAACCCTTGTCCGAGGATAGGGTGAACATTGGTCATCCAAAACCATAAGGCGGCCTTGAACGACACAACTACATCTGAGGCCACAATGTCAGGGTTTGCTAGTCCATCAAATTTGATAGCATTTCCGGCTAGAGCATAATTGTAGTTCCATGTTAGCTGAAGTGGACCTCGGCCATAGTAAGCCTTGTTGGGTGCACAAGGATACTGTGGATAATTTTCGTCGCAGTAGTCCTGAGTGGCACCATCAATCTCTTCAATATGGCAAAAGTCTGCACAAAAAAAAGATTTTGGTTGTTGTAATATTTATATTTTATGATAAAAGTTTACTACTATAGCAAAGATTTATTAACAATGAACATCAGTTTTTCACTTTTGTGTGTCGCTATATGTTATTATTAACGCACAAGTAGATACATATATATATCTTTATATAAATATATTGAAAAGTCATGCACATACATATTTCTATGTTAATACTAGTACCAAAATGTGCTACGTCAACCCTTTTGAATTAATACTTTATGATTTTTTGCAGGGTATATGTAGATGGTGTGTGTTATATATGAACTAATCAAAGTCAAAAACTTGTGACATGCGTGTACCAACATATAGTATCTATCTAGGTGCCCATAAATTTAATAAATAAATAAATAAATCTTTTATATATATATAATTGTGTGTCATCTTGGTAAAAAAAAAAAATCAAGTTCCTCTCTCCATTAATTCTAGATTCCGCAATCATAATCTAAATCCTAATAAGGAAAGTCATTTATAGTATTAAAAATAATAAGAATCAAAGTAAATTCTTTTAGTAAATAAGGAGAAAAAAGAAATGGAGACTTGAGGATAACTGTAAAGCATCAATATCAGCTAAGTAGAACGGTAAATAATAAGAAAAAGACCAGTGGTGGCGCGGACGCTACCAGCGGGTCCTTGCTAGTTCCGTCACTGGTTACAAGTTACAACCCCTCTTGAAATACTACATATGCAGGTATAAATGTATTTGCGCATGCACTAGCATAAATATTTGCGCATATATAAATATATATTTGTATAGATATATGCATAATTATTGAAAGGTTATCTACCTATAAATTTCTATATACGTACAGGGATATGATGAAATCTTACTTGTTGTTTCATGTGATACGTGTGCAAAGAAGGCTGCAATCTCACGTTTGGAATCATCAACAGAGCCAGTGGTGCCAAATTGAGAATTGGAATTGGCAGCTTCAAGAAATGCAGCTCTGGTGTAGAAGTTCTTGCCGGCACAATCTGCACCGGCTTGGCCGATGATGGCATTAAAGAATGCGTCTGTCACAGTGTCAGCGACAGAGACACCACTACTAGGTGTGACATAGCAAGGACCCTCTCGGCAACCTGTGCCGCAATAGGCATCCCCAACGCCACAGTATCCATGCTCACTACAGCACAGGTCCGCAGCACAACCGCAGTCCTGACCCACCACGGATTCCGGCAGAGATCCGGCAAGGATTCCGGCCAGAATTATTGTGAGTAGGGTCTTTTCGAAATTTAAAGCAACCATGTTGAAAAGAAGTATATATTGTTTGAAGAGAAATGTGTGGTGTTTAATGGCAAGGTTGATATAGAGGTATTTTATAACGTGTAGTCAATGGAATGTGCCAGGAAAAAGTGGGATTATTTCTTCAAGTTTGACACGCAATTTTCTTGAATACGCGTATGGTTTGGTCCGTGGACCGTGGTAGACTTTTACCTTTTAATAAGAGGGTTTTACATGATTTATTTTATTTTATATTCCAAAGAGGAATATAATGCAATCACAACACTAGTACCTTAACTACTTCCAACAGCCAACATTCCAACTAATCCACAAAACCAAAATAAAGTTATATGCCCATCAAATGCAGGAAAATTCTCAATATCCCAAACTTTGAAACATCTAAACCAACACCTACCCACCCTACCATGGGTTCACCTAGTCTAGACCAAGCCATCAATCCCAAAACACTCATTCACATTGTGGGTTGCCATCCAACACCGCCTTCCAACCATTAACAGAAGATGCACCTCCCACATCAATGCCACACTATGTGTTCTCTGTATCAATGAATTGGAATCCTATGATCAATTATTTTTCAAATGCGACTTTGTCAAACCCTTGTGGACATTTTTACAAATAAGATGTGAGATTCACATTCTGCCCCTCCTCGTAGTCTAACCTAATAACTTGTATTTTATACCAAATATAGTTTTGAGAAACGCATAATGTACATAACTCATGACATTTTTCCAAACAAAAAACGTTTTTGTGGAAATTTTCAAAACTAAGTTTTTAGTGAAATAATTTTTTGTTTTAGCCTTTCTGTTTTTGTTCTTCTCAATCATCTTGTTGATGCACATTGAATAATCTGAAAATGCATGCAAAAGTTTATTGCTACAGGATGAACCAAACGATACATTTTGATTCATGTTATTTTTTTTTTTTTTTTTATCCCTTATAGATCATATATCAATACAAGTAGTCTAAGAGAACATTAATGTTAGGTCCAAAATACAGGAAACTATCAATAAGAACCTAAACAGATTAACTTCAGACTACTCTTTATTTCCTTACAATTCATGTACCCAATATATATATATATATATATATAGAAGAACTTTGATATGCGACCTAGCAGTAGAGACTAGTGCCAGGGTCGATAACGATTTCGTTGCAGTATTTGGTGTAATAGTCTACACGAGCTTTAACGGCCTCAGGGTTCGCACCTTTACATTCAAGTGCACCATTGATGGCTTCTATTGTTGCTCCGAACCCATGTCCCATGACTTGGTTAACATTTTTCATCCAAAACCATAAGGCCGTCTTGAACGACACAACAGCATCTGAGGCCACAATTTCAGGGTTGTTCAGTCCATCAAAGTTGTTATCAATCCCGGCTGGACCATAATTGTAGTTCATGACAGCTGAAGTGGACCATAATGATGAAGACGCATTTCTTCTTCAAGCTAGAAGTAAATTGTTGAAACACCATTTGTTCCTTTGATAAAATTAGTTAACAGTATTACGGAGAAGGCTTTGTTTGATGGATATGAAAAATGAAATCAGAAATAAAAGTGAAAAAAAAAGGGTGTGAACTCCTTATTCCAATACAATATGAAATAATTGAGGCAACTGTATTACTAGTGGGACAAGCAGGGAACGACCTTAACTTCGTTATGGGGACTACATGTGAAACTTGGGTCCTTGGTGAGCCTACATGTCATTTACTTTTTTTGTTTTCCATTTTAAATTAAGACCTTTCAATAATTATTTAATGGTACCTTTCTTTCATCAAAATAATCCCATTATTACGTAACTGGTGTACACTTCGGTAGTTAATGATAATCAAAGATATTTTTGTTACTCAATTGTGTTCGGGTTAAAATTTTAAACTCAATCTCATATTAGATTCGATTTGAATTATAGTGGTACATTACTCAAACATGTATTATAACTGAAACTAATTAGATTATAAAAACAAGTTTAGAACAATCACAACAATAAAACTTGAAGCAAGATGTCACGCCCCGCCTATGGAGGTTAGGCCATGCAGGTGACACGCAGACGCTGAGTAGGGAGCTGCATGGCAACTGCATGGCGAGTGGAGTTTCTAGAGTCTTCCGGAGCTAACTAGAGTTGTGTGGAAGATTCTAGATATGTGTAGTATATTGTAGACATGTGTGGAAGGTTCTAGAGTTCTCCAGAATTGTGTGGAGTAATATGGAGAGTCCTAGAATGTTGTAGATACTTATGGATAAGTAAGGAAGTGTAAAGAAGGTGGGAGAATATTCTAAAGAATCGATCTCCACCGTCAGTTAGAATGCATCCTAGTCGTCTATTAGGGATAGGGATGTCTATAAATAGGAGTAGGACTCCATTTTGTAGCCATCAAGTCCTGGAATGAGTCTTGAGAGCTTTGTAGAAAGTTTGAGTGCTAGCCTTGTACAAAGTATTCTTTGAAGTAATAGAAGTGTTATTTAATTGGCAACTTAAGTGCCTTAGTGTGTGTGAGTGTGCAAGCCAAGTGAGGAAAGGGCGAGGGCTATTATAACACTAGTAAGCGCATGAGGGGAGTGTGTTGGCTAAGGTGTACACAGGAGTTAGGCTGACCAAGCATTTGCGAGAGTAGAAGCAACATCTTGGTGCCGCACGAGAGTAGCTAGAGTGGTGCTGAAACTCTAAGCCCGTGACAGTTGGTATCAGAGTAGGTTCGTCAAGGGAGCTTTGTGGAGTAGACATGGCTAGCGGAGGAGACCACCAAGTCCACGTCTTGGAGCATAGCTTGGAGGAGAAGCTCGCCACACATGTGGTTTACATGGAGACCAAGTTCACCAGGCTCAAGAGAAAGATGGCAGAGCTCTACGATCTAATTGACGGCATCGCCAACAAGGCGCGAGAGAAGGAAAGGGACTTGTATGATCGGGTAGACGACTTGCGCGTGGAGATTGCCGAGTGCAAGAAGGAGTTCTCCCAGGCATGTGAGGTGTTAGTGAAACCAAGGAAGAAGAAGGTGTCGTAGCCCAAGGAGTACGATGGGGTAAGGAATGTGAGCCAAATTGATAACTTCTTCCGGCATATAGAGCGGTACTTCGAGTGCATGGAAATCGAGGACGATAAGGAGAAGGTGCAGACAGACACTATGTACCTCACGGACACTGCTGCTCTATGGTGGAGGCAGCGCTTCACTGGTAGAGGTGCAAGAATGGTTGACACATGGGAGGAGTTCAAGAGGCAGTTCTACCTTAAGTGCATTGAGGACCTCGCCATGATCAACCTCAGGTGCCTGAAGCAAAAGGGTAGCATAAGGGAGTATGTGGAGGAGTACTCCAACTTCATGCTGGAGATCCCGGAGATGCCGGAGTGGCAACGTATGTGCTTGTTCATTAATGGGTTGTAGTCTTGGGTGGCCACGGAGCTGAAGAGGAGGGAGCCTAGAGACTTGGCATCCGTAATGGCTATAGCGGAGCGCCTTGAAGACTTTAGGTGCGATGACAAGAGGGCCATGTCTCCTAGGAGGGACCAAGGCAAAAGTGGGGGAGACCGACGCTTCAAGAAAAGGGGCTCGCCAAAATCCAGCGATGAGGAGAGATGCCCACGTCATGACAAGGGTAAAGACCATGGAGAGAGGTCCAAGCCTAGTGTCAAAGGGGAGTGCCGCGACAAGGGCAAGTGGGAGCCACCGAAATGCTACTTGTGCGAAGGGCTACACATATTGCGACATTACCCTAACAAGACCATAAGCGCCCTTGTGAAGGATAAGGGCAAGGGCAAGATGGACAATGTGGGCAGTGATTAAGACAAGTGCATAGGGGCTATACAGATACTAAGTAGCATAGTGCATGACACCAAGAAGAAGGGCAAAGTGAAGAAGGTAAGCGGGGTGCGCTATGTGGATGCGCAAGTTAGTGGCAAAGCCGTGCAAGCGTTGGTGGACACGGGCACCACACACAACTTCATTACCCCGAAGGAGGCTCAGCGACTTGGCTTGGAGATATGTAAGACAGAGGGCTGGATCAAGGCCGTCAACTCCGAGGAGGCACGTGTGAGAAAAGTGTGCAAGGAAGTGGAGCTATGCATGCAAGGGCGGAAGGGTAAGGCCGACTTCTAGGTTGCGGAGATAGACGACCACGACATGGTGCTGGGGGTGGAGTTTATGGACAGGAACAACGATGCGTCACTACCATGCCTTGGTGCATTGATGATGCTTGGAGGCGAGGAAGGCAAAGCCGCATGCATGGTGCCGCTCATGGGCAGGAATGATAGTCCAGAGGTGGCAATCAACACGATGGAGCTCGTGAGGACCTCACATCTCCGGAAGGGCACTCGTATGTTTGGGCCAAGGACATATACGCAAGTGCTGATGACCTACGAGAGGCTGGGTCAGCAGAAGAAACCGTGATGAGGGCGTCACAAAAATGGATGGGGGAAAATGTCACGCCCCGCCTGTGGAGGTTAGGACACGCAGGTGACACACAGACGCTGAGTAGGGAGCTGCATGGCAAGTGGAGTTTCTAGAGTCTTCCAAAGCTGTCTAGAGTTGTGTGGAAGATTCTAGATATGTGTAGTATATTGTAGAAGTGTGTGAAAGGTTCTAGAGTTCTCCAGAATTATGTGGAGTAGTATGGAGAGTTCTAGAATGTTGTAGATACTTGTGGATAAGTATGGAAGTGTGAAGAAGGTGGGAGAAGATTCTAGAGAATCGATCTCCACTGTCGGTTAGAATGCATCCTAGTTGTCTATTAGGGATGGAGATGCCTATAAATAGGAGTAGGACTTCATTTTGTAGCCATTAAGTCCTGGAGTGAGTCTTGAGAACGTTGTAGAGAGTTTGAGTGCTAGCCTTGTATAAAGTATTCTTTGAAGTAATAGAAGTGTTCTTTAGTTGCCAACTTAAGTGCCTTAGTGTGTGTGAGTGTGTAAGCCAAGTGAGGAGAGGGCGATGAACACTACAACACTAGTAAACGCACAAGGGGAGTGTGTTGGCTAAGGTGTGCACGGGAGTTAGGCTGACCAAGCACTTGCAAGAGTAGAAGCAACGTCTTGGTGCCGCTCAGGAGTAGCTAGAGTGGTGCTGAAACTCTAAGCC